CTTTTCCTTTATGATACTCTGTTTTCCTCCTCCACAGTACTTATCACAATACATGATTATTTATTCATGTGTTCATTTGTTTAATGTTTCTCTCTCCTACAAGGCTCTGAATTTCCTAAGAGCATGGATCATATCTGCCTTGCTCACCCTGGTGAAACCTACCGCCATTTAGTCAATTCTGACTCATAGTGACCCTATAGGACTTAACAGAACTGCCCCATAGGGTTTCCAAGGCTGCAAATCTTTACATCTTCCTCCCTTAGTGTTGCTGTTAAGTTCAAACTGCCGACCTTTTGGTTGGCAGTCAAGTGCTTTAACCACTCACTGCTCCATCAGGGCTCCTTCCTGGCACATAGTAAGGTATTAAAAAATATTTACTGAAACAATGGATGAACTTCAGAGATAAGAAGAAAAAAAAGCATGTAGGACTCTCCCCATGCTAACTGAATGTCGTACAAATGAAATCATAATTGAATAATACCATTTAAAAACATCAGGAAACATCTTTCATATCACCCAGGCAATGACTCTGAGGTACCCTCCCCTTTCTTAGTCATTTCATTCCACTGCTACAAGCAGGTTAGGGTTGTTAATACCATAACCAACAGAGCTATCAGTTTCCTACACTAGAGTGGGAGGAAACTATGATCTGGTGAGAGGTAAGAGTGTTTCCAATAAGGCCTAACCAATGTTATCTTTAAGGGGAATTCCAAGAAAGGAAAAACTTAACCAGTAACAATATTGCTCGGATTTTCCAACCTGTTACAAAACCCTAAACGTGCTTAGGAAGCCTAAAGGTATAAGCACAGACACCAATTGCTTATAATTTGTGAATTATAGATTTCTGGGTAGGAGCTCTGGTGGCACAGTGCCTAAGGCACTTGACTGCTAACCAGAAGGCTGGCAGTTCAAACCCACCAGCCAATCCTCAGAAGGAAGCTTGGGCAACCTACTTCTGTAGAGATACCACCTCAGAAACCCAAGGAGGGGTCATTATGAGTCAAATCGACTTGACAGCAGTGAGTTTGGTTTTTTTTTGGTTTGGGGTTATGTAAGCTCTGCTAGCACCACAGTGGTTAAGGCATTGGGCTGCTAACCAAAAGGTTGGTGGTGTGAACCGACCAATGGCTCAATGGAAGACAGATGAGGCACAAACCCACCAGCTGCTCCATGGGAGAAAATTGAGACAATTTGTTTCTATAAAGATATACAGCCTTGGAAACCCCATGGGGCAGTTCTACTCTGTTCTATAGGATCGCTATGAGTTGAAATCAACTCGATAGCAGTGGGGTTTTTGGTGGTTATCTAAGTCATTTCTCTGTGTCCAACTGTCCCAGAAAAAATCTGTCTTTACTTCTTTTGGTAACTTATTTCAGCATCTCATTACATCTCACTGCACTATGCTTCCAAATAGCTAACCTTTACAATATCCAAATCCTTTCATATATGGCAGAATTCCCTCTGAATCTTCAAAACATATAAGAAAATGACCCTCCATAATGCACATTCTCTCTTCATACCTGGAAGCTACAATATTAAGTTTCCATTCAAATATTTGTTTTTATCTGCCTTTAACGAGCATTTCCTTAAATTCTATTGCTCTACGTAAGCTACGAGAGTGCTAAGCAGAGAATCCTACATGTTGGTCACCTGATGCAGCCTCCCAGACTTATGTTTGCCTTGTGCCCATGGTACTTAACTGACTCTCATTTAACCAAGATCCAGATATTTAACAGATGTATAAAATGCAGAATCAATCCATTCTAATTTCTTCTAACTAAAGTATCTATCTGGGAGCTCTGGTAGCATAGTGCCTAAGGCATTTGACTGCTAACCATTAGGCTGGTGGTTCAAACCCACCAGCCACTCCTTAGAAGGAAGGTTGGGCAATCTACTTCCATAGTGATACTGCCTCGGAAACCCAAAGAGGGGTCGCTGTGAGTCAGGTCCAACTCCACGGCACATAACAACAACAAAGTATCTATCTATGTATTAACTAAACATATTCTACATATAAGGAGCTCTGGTGGTATAGTGAGTATGACAATTGGTTGCTAACTAGAAGGTCAGCAGTTCAAACCCACCAGCTGCTCTGCAAGAGGAAGATGAGGCAATCTACTTCCATACAGGTTTAAAGCCTTGGAAAACCAGTAGGGGTAACTATGAGTCAGAATCAACTCAATGGCAGTGGGTTTGGATTTTGATTTATTTTATGTGGGCCCAGATCATGCAGTTTCTATTTAGGATGATGATATATATATGTCAGCTCCTATTTTAAAGGTGTGTGTCATCACACTAAATTTGAAGTCCACAAAATCTGAGTCATGATAGAAAGTATATTCTCTTGACTACAAATAAATATGACAGATAAGGGCTTATCAAGAGAGCAAACAGAAACAGTTAGCTCTTGAGTTTCAGCTTCTGGACCATGACAAGAGTCGGTCTCTGTAACAGCATCTCTTCTTTGCTAGAGATTAAGACACACACACAGACAAAGAGAGAGCGAGATACACACACACACACACACACACAAAGACCAAGAACTGAGTTTTCATTTCCGATTTTTAATGTCCAAGGAAGAATCAAATCATGAATGACTAGTTCAAATATCTTTTCTAGCCCAACTAGACTTTCTGCTAAATTTCTGCCTCTCCTGTGCTACTGAGTGAAAGTGTGCATGTCTCACTTTCCAAACCCCAGCTATCTCAGACATCCAGGTGATGATGCAGTGGGACATGAGACAGGCTTCGTGCCAGTCAGTACCTTGGAAAGTCCCAGGAAGTGATGAATGGAAAGCTTGAAATTTTGCCTACTGATAAAGGAACAAAGTAGTCCTTTGCAGACATTAAAAACCATCAACTAGGGAGGGTTACAGGGTAGGGAGGGGAGGAGACTGGGTTAGGGTTGGACGTGGTGATTGGGGAATGAAATTAAATGTACGCCTTACGTTGAATGTAAAACAAGCTCTTTAAAATAAATAAATAAATAAAAAACCATCAACTAAGCACATCTTCTTGCAAGCCATACTGTGACTTAAGTGGTAATCGGCACATATCATAGATAGGATCCTTGTAACCATCAAGGATTACATTGGCGAGGATGAGAAAAATGAAGGTACAAAGACTGAACTCTTCCTGAAAAAGGTAGCTTACAAAGATTTTCCTTCCTCACAAAGCAGTTATGGAACTTTTAGAACCTATACACTGGCCCCTTTAATCCAGGAACCCAGAAATGTCTTCCAAATGTCAATTAAGAGTGGCGACAATCTCTACTTATAAATAGGAAAATATGAATGTTTAGACACCAAGCAGCCTAAGCCCAACAATGAGTCAGGACCAAAGTTGGCACCAGACCCAGGAATCTGGAATCCCCATCTCTGGTCAGGAGATGCGATCATCTTTCAAGGGGATAAAATATTCACATAAGAAACATATGGCAGTGATAGATGTTAACATCCACACATCCTGGGGTGGGACAAGACAAAGGTAGTCAACAGCACTCAGTTGAAGTTGAAAAGGAAGCCAACCCAAGGTCCAAATGTCATCTAATCAGATGGAAAATCAGCATTGTTTCAGCCCCTCTTGAATGAAGACACTATAGTGCTCACCTTATGGCTTGTACAGTGATGCCAAGAGATAGCCCATTCATCCTCACATCAAGGCTCTCTACTTCTTATCAGATTTGAGTTTAGAAAAGTCTCTTCATCTTTGGCCAGAAATCAGGTATTGCATTTTGCAAGCATGCATGCTGAAACTGGACCCACCCTACAGAACAGGGAGTTGGCAACTTCAAACCCTCTAGCTCTTCCTGTCTCTCTCACAAAGCAAAGTTGAAATATTGGGTGTATATAAGACACACAAACTAAATCAGAGTACTTCATAAACTGCAGAATTTAGGTGGTAATATGACTGGCTTGCATATTTAAGGTTCAGCAAAGTGACCCAATTAAGATCAGCAGGTAGCTTTTGGTATACTAGATGACAACAATTAATCAAATGGTCCACTAGATTAAGCATTGCCCTTTCCAAGGACCTATGAAAGAGAACAAATAAACTGATAACACGTTGGTGTGAACTGGTTTTTGCTCAGCTTTCTATGTGGAAGGTAGATACCCTGACACAGAACTTTGACTGGGAAGATACAGGTGAGCAGCCATACATCAGGAGGAAACCCAGAGAGAGAAGATGGACAAACTCCAAAGACAAAACAATGCTTACTTCCTAGTTGCATTTGGCCAACGCATCACTGGGAAACCCTTACCAGTTTGAGGCCCAGGGCAAATAGGGTTAGTATTTTTCAGTTTGAAAGGAAAGAACAAACTGTTCTAACATTCCCTCTAGAAGGGGAAATTCTTGTCCCTAGTCTCATTCCAGGTAGGCAGGGGGTTAGCCATCCCAGGGCAGCCAGCACTCCCCATGCCCCACCCCACACACCTGCACTGTAATGCTTCCACTCAGTCCCTGGAAAGACAGGGGCTGTAGGTGGATCTTACTGCTCCAGTGAATCTTCATCTCCCAGGCCCATCCATTCTCACCTCAAAGTACCCAGGCCAGTGAAATATCCATGAGACTTTCCACATAAACTAATGCGTGTATCACATATACACATCAACCACTTAAGGAGGAATTCGGCTGAGCCATGTATATTTTAAATTCATAAGAAAAAATCCATAAAGTGCTTACTATGTCCCAGGAGCTGAGCAGCGTCCTGCAAATTTAAAATCGTCCCTGGTGCAGCCCTACTTTCAAGGAGCTCAAAAACCAAGAAAAGTGGGGCCGACAGCCAAACGAGAAAGTTGAAGCAAGTTAAGAGTACTATTATTAGTCGAGAGGATCCCTGTCGAGGGGCCTCTCTACGTCCGTCCCCTTGAAACACAACAGCGCCCTGCTGCCGCGCTCAGTCAAAAAGAGTTCCAGCACCAAGGCTACATGTTTTCTCTGCCCCCAAATCCCGCGGGCCCTTCCCTCTACTCCCTCTTCCCTCCCTCGGCCCGCACTCACTGAGTCTTCCTGCGGCCCTGGTCCCAGTGCAGCTCCCTCAGGTCCACCTCGGCGCGACCCAGGAACTTGTCGAGGCCAAGCAACGCGCGGTGCAGCACGGTGAGCTGCAGGGTGGCGGCGGCCTGGGGTGCTGCCCCGGCGGATAGCAGCGGAGGCAGCTCGAAGGTGGCTTCCTCCCGCCACACAGGCGCGCCCAGGCTGCGCTCTGATACCGAGGTGGCGTACTTCTCCTTACCCACCTGGATCACCGCGTACGCGTCGCTCGTGCCCCCGGGGCCCTTGGCTCTCAGACCCCGTGCCTGCAATACTGTCACCTGCACGTGGGTTGGAGACCACAAGGCCCCTGGGCCCCGGCCCGCCGAGGCCGCCAGGGACATGGTGACGGCTGAGCTACCCAGCAAGGTGTGAGAAGATTTCCGCGACCAGCAGTCAGCCCGCCCAGGCGCCCCGACCACTTTAAAGCTTCCGGCCACGCCCCCTCCAGGACCCGCCTCTCCCGGTCACGCCCCCCCACACACACACCGCCCCACCTGCCCGCAACTCAGCCCCGCCTCCGCCGTTCGGGGCGCGCTAGGCGTCAGGAGGGCTCAGGGCGGGGTTGGCGTAGCAGGGGTCAGGGCGAGGACTGGACATGGAACCCACAGGGAGTTCGAGAATTGGGATCTGAGAGGCAGTCAATGAGCGATGGGGTTAGGAGTCAGACCTAATTTCCAGTTCTCATATCGCCATTTGGTAGGTGTGTGACCATGCACAGATTAATTGACATATTTAAATCTCAGATTCCTCATCTGTGAAATAACAATTGCTTCATTGAACTGTTGTAAAAAAAAAAAAAAAATACAGTTTTTAGCACATGGGGAATTCTCTATAAATCTACTGCTCTTTGCATTTCTGCCTACCTAGAACTTTGTTTGGGAGGAAGGTAGGTACAGGAATGGTGTCCTAGTGGACAGGGAAAGGGAAGGATCATTTGATCATTTTTTACCTTCCCTGAAAAAGAGAAGATAAAAATCCACCCCCACTCCCCCAGTGTGGTCGGTGTGGGAATGTTCTGTTTTGCCCTGCCCTCACCAAATAAGGTGAAGCTCAATTAGTAAAGGGAAGAAGAGAGGAACTAAAATAGGATTGCCAAATCAGTCACCAGGACCAGAGCCTCTCATGCCAGCCAGTTCCCCATTTCTCCCTGGCTGGGGCCCTGTCAGTCTCTCCCTCCTCTTTATCATTGGGTTCCAGGTCAGTCACTTTCTTATGCTAAATGTTTATTAGATTGGCGTCTTTCCCTTTTTCCCAGTGTCCTGGCTCAAAGGCTCAACTGTCAGTTGTCAAAATGAGAAAGTAACTTTGAAGGTTTTGAGGTTTTCAGTTAAGGAAAGGCTCAGAGCAGAGAAGTGACTTGTTCAAAGTGTCACTGGCTTATGGCCAGGACTAGAACTCAGGTCTCCTGGCTCCCAATCCAGTATTCTTACTGCATCCCTTGCTTCATCTGGATTCTCAGAACACCATCTTTGGATTGCTGCTAGTCTCCGAGCTGGGAACTCTGGTAGCGTAGTGCTTGAGGCACTTGACTGCTAACCAGAAGGCTGGTGGTTCAAACCCACCAGCATTCCTTGGAAGGAAGATGGGGCAATCTACTTCCGTAGTGATACTGCCTCAGAAACCCAAGGAGGGGTCGCTATGAGTCGGGTCCGACTCGACGGCATATAACAACAACAACAACAGTCTCCCAGCTGGTCTCCATGCTCTTCTCCCTCCAGTCCACACCGCACATTGCATCATTAACCTGCTCAGAATCCTACAATGATACCTCACTGACTAGGCTAACTTCAGACTTAACAGAACTTTCAAGACATTCCTATTTTAGCCTCAGTCTAACTGGGTCTCCTCTATTTCCTGAACAAACAAACCTGTAGTCCAGCTAATCTTCCCATCTCCAGGCTTTTACTAACCGTATTGTCCCCTTGGCTGCCCTTGCCAAATCCTACCCACTTCAAGGCTTCACTGAAATTTCTCCAAAGTTTGACTTCCTATAGCCCCTTTGAAGGAAAGGATCAAATGGTGACTTATTTATATGAGACCCTACCAGAAACCTGGGTACACAGATACTCATAAAGTACTTTTGAATTAAAGAGTTTGCAGATTATTCCAGCCAGCCATGAATATATAGTGTTCTTTTTCACTATGTAAAATATTAGAGGGCAGACGCTATGCCTCAAATTTGCAACCGAAGGCGACTATTGTAGGGGAAAGGCCCCTTTAGTATGTTTGACTGCTAATCAGAAGGCTGGCAGTTCAAACCCACCAGCCACTCTACAGAAGGAAGACTGGGCAATTTACTTCCATAAAGATTTACCACCTCAGAAACCCAATGGGGTTTGCTATGGTCAGAATTGACTAGATGGCAGTAGGTTTGGTTTTTTGGTTTAGGCAAGAAGGAAGAAAGGAGGCACCAAAAAAGCAAAGAAGGCAGGAAAATGTAACAATTCTATTGTTTGGGTACCATTCCCTCTTCTTTAAGATCCATTAAAGGCTGGCGGTTCAAACCCACCAGCCACTCCTCAGAAGGAAGATTGGGCAAATAACTTCATTCAACCTCATGCCTCAATTTGGTTCCGTAAAGGGAGCTCTGGTAGCATAGTGCCTATGGCACTTGACTGCTCACCAGAAGGCTGGCAGTTCAAACCCACCAGCCACTCCTCGGAAGGAAGGTTGGGCAATCCTACTTCCGTAGTGATACTGCCTCGGAAACCCAAAGAGGGGTCGCTATGAGTCGGGGCCGACTCGACAGCAAACAACAACAACAGCAACAAAGATTTATTAAGAAATTACTTTGTGCCGGGCATGTGCTACATGGCACAAAGCTGAATGAGACCCAGTTCCAAGGCACTCATGCTAAATGTTAGAAAGGAAATCCTATGTAAATAAAATGCATTGCATTGGGTATTTGGAGGAGAGAGCAGTATTTCCTATTAGGTAGGTTTTTATGAAGGAAACGGCATTGAACTGGGCCCTAAAGAATACTTAAGTTTTAATAGATATATGGTACGTACGTACAAAACCAAAAACCAAACTCACTGCCATCGAGTCAGTTCCAACTCAAGGCAACCCCTCCCTGGGTTTCCAAGGCAGTCTCTATGGAAGTAGATTGCCCAGTCTTCTTTGTGAGGAGTGGCTGGTGGGTTTGAACTGCTAGCCTTCTGGTTAGCAGTCAGATGCCTTAGGCACATACATACAGTGAAATATTATTCAGCCATAAAGAGAAATTAAATCCTGATACATGCTATCACATGGATGAACCTTGAAAACATTAGCTGAATGAAATAAGTGAGACACAAAAGAACAAATATTGAATGATCCCACTTACATAAAATGTCTAGAAAAGATAAATGCATAGAGACCAAAGTTAATTTATGGTTTCCAGGCATGGGTGGGAAATGGAAAGAGGGAGGTATTGCTTAAGGAGCACTGAGTTTCTATTTAGGATGATGGAAAAATTTGGAAACAAATAGTGGTTACGGTTATAAAACAGGATGAATGTAATCAATGTTACTGAACTGTACATGTGAAAATGGTTGAAATGGAGAATGTTTCATTTTGTGTGTGCGTGTATGTGTGTGTGTGGGGGAGTGACAGTGAGGGCGGGAGGAGTGAGAGCGAGGATGAGGTGGAGGGGGAGGGGGAGAGAAAGAGAGAGAGAGAGAGAGAGAGAGAGAGAGAGTATGTGTGCTCTGGTGGCATAGTGGATAAGGCATTTGGCTGCTAACCAGAAGTTCAGCGGTTCAAACCCACCAGCCACTCTGCAGTAGAAGGAAGATGGGACAATCTACTTCCATAAAGATTTATATATATGAAGATTATGTGTGTGTGTGTATATATATCTACAATTAGCAAAAACAACAAAAAAGATTTAACAGAAAGAGATGGTAGAGAAAGAGCATTTCAGAGGGAGAGAACAGAACAGCCTAAGCAAAGACATGGAGAGTTCATGGCATGTATAGGGGTTAGGCGTATGCAATTGTGGCTGGAATGTAGGCTGCTTTAGGAGGACATTAGGTCATGGAGATAAGACAGCCAAGGTATGTGGGCCCAGATCATGCAGATCATGAAGACCAGGCTAAGGAGTTTATGCTATAATGTTAGACCAGGGTGAGCCAGCCTTCATAAGATTTTGAGCAGTGACATGACTAGCTGTGCATCAGGTTGTAAGGCAGATGTGAACAGTAGTAGACCAGTGGACAACAGCATGGCAGGTCACAGCCAGATTTTCACCTGGGGACTGTCTGCCTCTGGCCCCAACTTGCTCTACCCTGTACCCATCCTTCATAATACTAAATTACCCATCCTTGATAATACTAAATTAAATCAGGCATACATGTTTGTTATGGATTCAATTGTATTCCTCAAAAATAATTGTTGGTATCTGTGGTAGTTAAATTTGTATGTCAACTTGGCTGGGCCTGGTTGAGTGGCTGGGCAGCTAGTGGTAGTTATTCCCCATGATGAGACTGGCAATCAACTCCATGGTAGGATCTACTACAAGCAGCTGAGTAGCTCTTTTGGGATGTGGTCTGCTTCCTGTATATAAGGAGAAGCCTTGGGGATAGTCTTTAGCTTGTGGCATGCTTGGACCCTGCATGTAGCTGTGTCATTGTTTGGCAGCCTTCCATGCTCTGCCAATCTTGGGACTTACAATGGACTTGAATTAATGGCATGTCGTGGGGTTTGGTAACATCGGGACTGTGCCGTTTTGTTTATCAACCTTGGGCTCGTTGGCCTCAGCAGCCAGTAGCTGTCTGAGTGAAGAGATGCCTCTAGCTCCAGTGCTCCAGGAGAAAGAGGCAGAGCTGAAGCCCAAGGTCGAGGTGCTTTCACACAGCCCCTAGAGCCTGGCACTTTGAACTCAGACTTCTAGCCTCCTGAACTGTAAGAGAATAAACTCCTGTTTGTTAAGGCCATCCCATTTGTGGTATATTCTTGTCAGAGCAGCACTAGGTAACCAGAACAGTATCCTGAACCCTCACCTTGGAAGTCATCCTGTCTGGATTTTCTTTGTTATGTCAATGAGGTCTGCTCAGTGTAGGTTGTGTCCTAAACCTCATCACTTCCCAGTTCTAAGGAACAGCATAGACAGATACACCAATCAAAACCCAAACTCACTGCCATTGAGTCAATTCTGACTCATAGTGACTCCCTTTGGATTTCCAAGGTGGTAAGTCTTTACAGAAGTAGATTGCCCAGTCTTCCTTGTGAGGAGTAGCTGGTGGATTTGAGCCACCAACCTTCTGGTTAGCAGTCAAATGCCTTAGGCACTATACCACCAGAGCTCCTTATAGACAGATATAGGCAAGCAGTGAGGAAGAAAAAATGGATGCCATTTGAA